TGCTGGTTGCTGTCAGGGGGGACAGGATGCACTGGTGTAATGGCAGCTACTGCAAATGCAAAAAGCGTCCCCCAAGAAGCAGCAACTGCAGCACTTGCTGTAGCATGAGTGGCAAGCTCAGTGCTCAGGTGTCTTCCTGTGGGTTTCTGTCCTTCATCCTCTTTTAGTGACGGGAGCTATCTGAGCCCTTGGCAAGATTCAGCCTTGTGTGTACAGCTAAGAAGCATTGGCATTCCCTGCAGTGTCACGTTTCTGCACTTGTAACAGCCAGGAAAGGTATTCACAGTCACTTGTATCACTTCTTGGGACACTGGCTTTTCTCTGACCATTATTACTGGCTGTCCTAATCATTGCTTCTAATAACAGCTAGCCAAGGCCCTGCCCAGGAGTTTTCCCTGAACTTCCATAGGTGAAGTATCCAACAGGAAGCAATTTTGTGTTTAAAAATGGCATTGATGTGGAGGAGAGCATCAGCCCCCATTTGAACTGTCTTTTATCTATTCAGGTTGGGGGAATGAAGAGTGAGTTTTATGTTGAATGCCAAGGGATCAAGTGTGGTTGAAAGCCATGACCTCTTCAGCTATCCATTTCTTCAGAGGCTGTCTTTCCTTTCCCTGATCTCATTCGTGTTGCTATGGAGTTTTGCAGTGCTCCACTTGGAGGCTATTCATACAGTTACTTACACATGTGCTTTCAAACGATTTAATGAAATGTATACAAACTCTTATTGAGATGATCTCTGATTTATTGATTGTCTACAGTGTGCTTGGTAAGATATAAACATCGGGGAAGATTTGGTCTCTGTTCCCAAAGAGTTATAATCAGCTTTAGCAGAACAAATCAGGCCAAAATGTAGCCTGCAAGAGCTTTGGCTTAAAAAACTCCAACAAAAATAAAAGATGAAAACTGCCTTAGTCTGAAGATTTAATAGAACTTGAGTGATGGAAAATGGAACGTGTACTTCAGCCAGTGTCAGTATGTTCCAGTGCTTTATTCGTCAGGTGTGAGAAAAGGGAAGATGATTATTCCCTCCCTGACTGCTGTGCAGGTGTTTGCACCACTTTACTTTGGTTTAACAACTTACCATGCATGGTAAAAGCTGCAGTAAGTTGCCTGGGAGCATTTTCTTAGTTCACAGCAAATACAAGCCAATTTCAGCTACAGTAAAAACATTAAAAGTGTTGTCCCAAGCTGCTTTTGCTGCAAGAAAAAGCATGCTTACAGGCAGCTACTAGTCTCAGCTGGTAACCGGGGGCTTCTAATTTATGAATCTGAACTTTGGCCTTCATCTACAGTTCTTTTGGACCAGCCTCTCCTGAAGAGATTTTCCAACATAGCTGTGCTAACAAAACAGTCCTTGTGTAGAACCATCTTTTACTGAAGGGAAAGTGAATTTGCTAATAAAGTTTATCAGATCTGTTGAGTGAAATAAGCCAGACCAGTAAAAGGACTTTGAAATTCTTGAGCTTTCACTGCCAAAGAAATGTCGATTATATTTAATTAGTATATCTGTACCAGCAAAGGCTCATGCCTTAGTTTCGCTTAGATTCTTGTAATTGTCCCTCTTGACATTGAACCTATGAATGGAAAATGGTGAAGGTGGGAACATTCACAGTATATGCAGTCAATAGTGCTTGAATGGATTAAACATCCTTCTGTAATGACTTTTTCACCTGCAAGTAACTCCACTGATTTCAAGTGAGTTTCTTACATGAAGAAATCTTCATCATATTCAAACCTAAAATATGGTGAGAAAATAGAGCTCAGAGTTCAGGTTTAACTACACTTAATGCAAATACCCTTCACATGTAAGGAATACTGTGGTATAATGTGATTTTGTCCCTTGTATATGCTGATGACAGGTTTAAGTGCTTAGTCTAATCATTGTGAAAAATTATTCATAATGGTATAGAACTGTGAGTTTAGGTTATAGAACTTTAACCCATTAAACGTTATGTATAATTTGCTGGGGGAGATCAGTGCTATGTTTTGTGATCTCCAACTTCAATGCTTTCTGTACACCTGTTACGGCTAATTAAGCCTAGAACACACAATAAATGGGAATGTCTTTCTCTTTTATTATTGTTCTGCTCCTGATTCCCTCCCTTACTAGTCTGAGTGCTGCAGAATCCCTCAAACATGCTGCAAATGTAACAAAGCTCTGACACTGATAAGTTGCCTGGAGCACATAATGATTTCAAGGCAAGACTGTCTGCTTCAGTCAGGTTGCCATGAGGATGGTGCAGCATATCAAAGCCTTTTCAGAAATCTTTGTCATGATCTTGTGCTACAGAGGTTATACATCTTATACAGTGAGACAAAGTCTGCTTTTGTTCACACCTGGGTGGCTTACCCACCTTCATAATAAGGTGGGTTGTAAAGTCAGTGTGAGCTTAGAGAAGTGAGAGCTGAGCATGTCTAAGGAAGCACCAGCTTTGCAGCCTGGGGTGTACCAAACCTTCTAATGGCATCCTTGAAGTTTTCTATTGTTGCTAGTAAGCATTGGCAAGGCTACGAACACCCTCTGTTGCCTGTCTGCTGTGATGCTGTGCTGTATTTACTCTCGGCTCACATTTTGCCCCTGTTCTCAGAGCTCTTCAATGAGATGCTGTTGATACATTTGCTGGTCACAGGTTTAGAAAAGCTTGTCAGAAATTCTGGCTCTAAATGCTAGGGTGCAGGTTCAGGCAGAAGAGGTGGCTAAAGTATGCCATCACACTCTGCTTTGCCTTTAGCTCTGATGATGAGGAATATAAAATCATTCCTGACACAAGGAATTATGTTATATGTGTTTAAAAAATAATATATATCTATGACTGAATAATAATATTAAGTATAGATTTGTTAATCTAATAGGTCAGAATGGTGCACTTGTGTAATAGTGCTGTCTTATTTAATTGCTATATTAACCTGCAGTTTAAAGCTAGCTCAAAAAGGTGTGGCAACTGGAGTCTGAAAAGCACAGAATATACTTCCATACAGTCTGCTTTTCCTCGCTTTAGCAAGTGTGCTTGTGCTCTGACATCAGTTTTAGACCAGGGAAAAGAGGAAAACAATTGTGCTTAGTGTGGACTTCAGTGGTACCATGGGGTAGATAGTTGCTTGGCTGCTGAAGGTGCAGCAGATAAGGAGGATTTGTACCACCTTCTTTCATTGACACATTGCATGCTGTCTGTCTGAAACCTACCTGAGCAATAGGAACCTGTGGGACTGCTGAGATCTGAGAACTGATTTTTTTGTGATGTTTCCAACACATCATGCTTCTGGTTGGTCTGGGATTTGTGTGATTACAGCCTTTTCCTCTTTGGTGGATTCAAAGTCTGCCTGAACCATCCTGCTAGGATGGAGCCCATATGAAGCTGGGGGAGTGGGAGAGGCGCAGAGGAAACATGAGTTGCTTGGGTGGATTTCTGGTGTCTCTGTGAGAAATATCCTTTCAGCAGTAACCAAAGATGAAAAGCGATTCTTAAGTCTGATCTCCATCTTGAGTTCAGACCATGAGCAGTTGGTTTGGACTCCTACAAATCTCAGCTAAATGCAACAGTAGCAGAATCCCTCTGGCTGCTTCAGCTAAGTAAAGCCCTCAGTGCAAACCCTAGCACTTAGCAAGAGCTCCACAGAGTATTTCTGCTTCACTAGCCATGTAGCTAATACAAAGAGAGGAAAGAGCAACATTCATTTCGAAAAAGCAAAGTGTTCTTGCCACTCTATAAGTACAGTTCCTACATATCTCTCTATAGGAATAGAAATCAGAAGAAATCTTCATAAAAGAGAGTATTTAATCCTCCAGGTTTCAGGTTCTTCTGTGGGCTGGATTCCCATTCATTTTAGTGAGAGGTTCATACATGTTATGTGGACACTTGAATGTGGTGCAGATAGAAGGGACAGTTTTGCCTACGGTGACATGAGATGATAATGACACACCTCATTTTCAAAAAGGTAATTTGTGATTGTAGCAGGGCTGGTCAGTCTTGAGTTGTCATTTAGGTTTCAGCTCTCTAGCAATCAAATAATTCTCTGGGTAAATAAACAAAGGAACATACCCTCCATGACGAAAATGCAGATATACCTTTCATTAATTCTCTCACTCTCTCTTCTTTCCATTTATGTTTTAAATTAAGTACTGGCCTGGCTTTTGGGAGGTTGAAATGAAGGATTCCCCATGCTGGTTAAATAAAAAGTCCCTTCATAGTCACAGAATAAAAGGGAAGGGCTGGGAAAAAACAGGTCATGGCTAGGGATGCACAACCCGTGGAACTCCCACCCCTCAAAGAGACACTCACTGAGCTTCCCAGCTGAGTCGAGTAATGTGTGGAGCTCTGTTTGCTGTTTTGTTTGATGTCTTCTTTATTTCCTGTTTGCTGAGTGATCTGAAAGTAAAACAACCAGCCCAACAAACCCAGGAAAAAAATGTCCTTTTAGAATTCTAAATGGGGCGCAGCTGTGTAAGCTGGACTGCACAGACGCTGACTGAGATTGCCAAAGAGACACATGTATCTCGTATCCTTTGCTCTGTGGGTGCTCAGCCCTTGCAGAGTGATTTCTCTCTCTTCTTCCTCTGTCTCCCGTCTTTTGAAAGTATCTCTAGCAAGGAACTCAAATTCATTAACTCCTGAGCACAATCTCTTTTCATCTCCGTGTCTATCAGAGCTAATGCTACTGGGGATAAGAGAGGCTAAGCAAGGATACTGGAAGCACAGATGCGAATGTCACATCAGTTGTCCATAAAAGTGTAATATCAGTGGTCAAGGGAAAAGGATTTGTAGGATAGATTTCTCAAAGCACCTTTTGTTATTGGTACTGGAAGACGAATGACCTGCAAGGACATGACATGAGTGTTGTCATGGTATGACTTGCAACAGGGGTGTTACAGTTATAATAAATTGCACAGAGTATGTCAGTAGTGACCTGGGAATGATGCAACAACAACAACAAAATCCTTCCTCCCCTTCCATGATGCTACCTGAACACAGTTTATGCAAGATGCTGTCTTAAAAGTATTTGCTTTGCTTGGGAGGAGGGGATAAAAAGTAGAAAGAGAAACTCAAACAACCAATATAAAAGTTACACTGCATAAAAGTAGGCTCCTGCAAACAATAGATAGATAAACAACCATGCACCTCAGCACTGAAGATGATAATACTTAATTCCAAATAAAATCTATTACTGCCCAAACCCTGAGTGTACTGACAAAGGCTTTGCTCTTTTCAGTAGACTGAACAGTACTGGGGGGGGGGGGGATGATCAAACAATATCTCTGTGCATTCAAACTTTTTTAAAGAAACAGCAGGAAAGAATCCACTGAATTGATCTTTCCCAGCACAACTTTATGAAGGGCAGCACAGGTAAGGAAAAACTACTTTTTTCTTTCTATAAGAAAGATGTTATCCTCTCACTTGCCTTTCAGAATCTTCTAAGTACTTGATTGCTATCTCTAGAGATTTGAAAACTGGGTTTGAGAATGCATTTCTAGGCTGTTACCAATCTATTCAGTGAATTCTGTAAGTCACTCTATGTTTTGCTTCACCTTTGCCATCTGCAAAAGACTGTCTGGTGGAAAGCAGTATTCAAGAGCTATTTTCTGTATTTATTTGCAGAAGCTGTTCCATGCAGCAGACAGCACTTTCCCTTCCTTGCCTTCTGCTTTGCATGAGCAGAGCACAAAGGACGAAGCTCAGACATGTGCAATGGCCCCAAAGGTAAGGGGGGAATGTTTCTTGGTGGCAGGACACTTGGTCTCCGAGGGCCCAGCCCCATGGGTGCTGCTCCTAGGGTATCACACTTGCCGAGGAAAGCCTGGAGAAGCCTGTGGGGACCCTTGTTTTGTATGGAGGGAGAGGGGAAGGAGTGGACCAGGCCTTGGAGCAGGCTCAGCAGGCTGCTTGGGGACCAGCGAGTGGGGAAAGGAGAGGGAGCCGAAGGCAACCACTGCCATAGCCGTGTTGGCACGATGTCAGCAAGAGCAGTAGTGACTTGGATCAGCTCTGCGCTGTGACCCTTCCCGACTACATCGCGGGACCGCTGCGATCACCATGGAAACAGCGCATCCCTGCGGCGCGGTTGCCTGGTGATGGCGGCGGAGCCGAGGCCGCCGCATAGGGTGAGCGAGGCCGGGCCGAGCCCCTCCGGCAGCGGCTGACCCGGGGCTGGGTCTCCTCGGCCTGGCTGGACGCTTTTACCAGAGCACAGCCCCTCCTGATGGCCGGCGCCGCAGTGGCAGCCTTGCGGAGGTGTGAGTGTGGCACCAGGGTGGAAGCAGGAGTGGCAGGTCCTTGTCATAACGAGGGCTGCATCCCCCAGCCGGCGTCCCAGAGGAGAAGCAGGTGCTGCTGATATGTAGCAAGGGGACTGAGCTGTTCCCACCTCCATCCCAGCAAGGATCCTCACAGAGAACCTGGCATAGGATGTGGCCATGGGTAAAACCGGGGGGCTCTGTCTGGGCAGATGTGGGCAGGCAGGCATGAGGGAAGGTGACCAGTGGGGGCTCAGTCTTGCAGGCAGCTCCTTCTGGGGTCTCTTCTCCTCCGCACCCTCCATGCTGCTGACCACATCAGTCACGCTGTCGACGTGCTGACCAGTGTGCATGGAGCTATACAGGTCAGGCAGCCCTGACCATCCAGTGCCTGCAGGGCTAGAAGAGTTCTACAGAAGTATCTTCACATTCTTTCTCCCAGGCTCCCATCACTTGTGATTCAGGGACTTCCTGTCGTTTCTAACAGTCCTATGAGTGTGCAGTGACCTAGGACTAGGACTGAGCATCCATCAGTTGCTGGCCCAGCTGAACGCGATAACTTGATCGGGTGACTCAGCCCCTGATTGCACATACTCTTTATTTAATTCCCATAGGCAACTTACGTAATGGAAGTGGAAGGTTATTTGTATTTAATTCCTGTGGAAGTTTTCTTTATGTTTAAAAATATGAAATTATCTGTTTCATTTAGTTCATACATCCATACTTTTGGGAGAGTCCATGGACGTGGACAAGGTATTGTTACAGCAGGTACTGCACTCTTGACTTCCACACATCTTTCTCAGTATCCTTCAAAACAGTATAGCTCTAGCATTAGATACCTAGGGTCTTTCTTACCCTCCTCACCCACCTCGTCTTTTATTTAAAATTCTCAAACTGATCCCAGGAAATCCAGATCAGATGAAAGCTTTCAGCTCTAATATTCTAGATGCAAATCTTATTAAATTCCAAACCCCAAACCAAGCAACATTGAACACTGGGAATAAAACCGAAATGAAGAAGATCAGTCACTCTCAAGTCAGTTTAACAGCTCATACAGACACATTCTCTCCGGTCTCATCACATTCATATTAATGGATAAATTTGCCTGTTCTATTATATTCTATATGTTACACTGTGTAATGAGAAGCTAATTGGAGCCAATAGGCAACATGCTAATATTTGTGGGGTTCAAAAATCAGTCACAGCTCCAGCATTTGAGGAAAAACCTATTTATTTCAGAGTTGTTTCCAACTGTGCCTGAACAAAACTTGCTTCTGGATCCTCCTTCCCACGGACTTCCAGGTTCTGGGAAGCTGAACTGCTTGCAGATGCAATGTTTAGGGATTACACGTGTAATTAAATTAAAAGAAATATTTAAGGTCACAAATCTAAGCAGTGAACATAAGCCTGCCACCTGCCCCAGGCTAATGTCAGCATTAGGAAACTGCAAATGTGTAGTTATCCTAGCCTTGAAGAAAAGCTGAAGGATGGTACTTGGAAAAGACGGCATGAAACGAGGCCTGCATATTTCTCCAAGACAAGGCTGTACGTGCCCTGTATGCATATGCGGGGTGCATGTCCAGTTCACAGGTTGCTTTAAAGTCTTAAAGTTTGACTTCGGAAGCTGAACACGGCATTTTGAAAAAGAAAGACGTTCTTCCCCTCAGAGGAGTAAGCGTTCACAGGAGCAGCTGATGGGGAATGTTTGCCTCACATTTAACCCCCTGGGAAGCTGTTCCCCGCTAACTATGCCCTTGGTTATATTTGTAACTTAGTCAGCTTTTGGGTAGCTGTAAAGGCAAACCTTATTCTAAATCAGAAATCTGTTTCTCTAGGTGTGGTCTGGTTTACACTCTTGGCTGCGATTGTGAGACAGAGACACCATGTCCAGAATGGATCTTGGAGACCTTCTCTGTGGTTTTGTGGGGAGAGCACTTGGAAATTTGGTCACCTGTTTGCAGATACCTGACCGTGCAGTGGTACTTGGTCCAGGAATGGGTGAAGCTCATTCAGACATTGGTTATGAACTCTGTGTCCTTTTAACTCCTTTTCAGTTTAGCATACTTTTCATGATCCCTCCTCCTTGTTCTCTGGATGTGCCTGTACATATTGCTGCCAAAGGCTCTACGGCTGGGTATTCCTGCTTTGATTGATAAGTAGCCATTAATCACCTGTGGTGGCCCCTCACTTCTTGTTCCTTGTTCCTCACTTCCTGTGTTATTGTTTTACCATGGGAGTCATGAAGAACTGTAGAGAGGAGGATAAATCATAGTGTCTTCTAGCTGCAAATCTTCTGAATAGTTTCCCATGTTAAATGCGTGAAAATTTTTGAATCCTTAGAGATTTTTGTAAAAACAAGGTCTGAATACTTGTGAGTGACACTTGTTGCCATGCCAGAAATCAGTCTGACAAATTCAACCTTTTGTCTCTGACTAAAAGATTCTTATCTTCAGCCTGGTTCCAAATAGGTTCGTGGGAATGGAGAAAAAGCTGAAGAAAAATACGCTTGCTAGCCTGTAAGCCAGTTCCCCCTCTTTCCAAATCCCAAAGCAGGAGAAAGAAAAAAATGCAAAAGGAGATGCTCAGAACTCTTACAGACATATTCGAAGACTGGTCCCTTATTCTTTTTTAGCCATTGGATTACATTAATTGGCTTAATAAACTTTAAACATTGGAGACAGTGAAAGTCTAGACTTTTTGTCATAGGGTCAGTAATTCAGACTGATTTCTCTCCTGACATCTGACTCCTAATTTTCTCCAAGTTCATATTCTACTAAGATAAGTTGCCAAAGTTTATTGGCCAGATTGGCTCATTTAATGAAAAGCAAGTCTCACCCACACACTAAAGCAATGGGGAGTTCCTCTAATACAGTAGATGTCAGCCATAACAAGTCCCTATTAATAATTGAGTACCTGTTGGAACTGCTTGAACAGTTTTCCTTTGCTTCTTGTCAAGCACCATTAATGTGCAGTAACCTCATTTAATCTGACTGTGTCACGGACAAGTGCATCCATCCCGTATGGTTTGATCCACCCTTTCACCGTTTTCCCTATGGCATGATTTGAAGCCTTTGAAGAAGCGCATATAAGTTCCGTTCTGTTATGTTGATTTGAAATAGTGAAGACGTAACAGCTGGAGTGGCATGGCAGGCTTGCTGGTTTTTTTTGTTCTGGCTAATGAAAGGTGTTTTAATGTCTGATCACCTTGCTCTGATAGCACACCTTCTTTCAGGTGAGAGTGCTATAGCCACCGTATTTTCTCTATGGCTCAGGACTTAAGGTGATGCATTGTATTGGGGAGTATATCAGGTTCATGGTGTCTCTTCTACCCTTGCTTCTTCAATGCTTAGGCTGGCATAAGTGGTATTTCAGTGCTGTGTTGTATATTCAGGGCTCTGTGTCATCTCTCAGCACTGTTCAGTGGCTAAATGTATGGCAGGGGTGCGCTTCCTGGGGATATTTGTGGTGGAAGGCAGAGAGAGCAGATGCCTCTGTCACAGCCTTGAGTCTGAAAGACCTTTGTGGCTTCCGTGTAGACTGAGATGAACTTGACACAGTGTATTTAGACCAAATAGTCCCCTGCTCCTTGGCTGACTTCTGAGTCTCCAGATTGCTCCAGGATACTGATTATGGCTGTTGTTCAAGCTGGTGACCAGGAGTACTTGGGCTGACAGCAGTACTGTCAAGAACCAAGAAATTCCAAGTCTTAGACTTAGCTGGAGGGATTTTATCAGCATAAACATGGCAAATCCTAACAGAGTTGAGCACTTGTCCCTGTCGGCCCTGTTAAGAATAATAATGTGTTAGGCTGGTTGAGTAAGTGGACTACTCAGAGTCAATCAGTGAGGAAATGGTGATATGACTCATTTCTTACACTTGCTCTTAGTCACAGCTATACTGAGTTTCAGCTGCTTAAAAGAGACCTGAATCAGTTTAAAAGGAACACAGGAAGAAAGTAGTGTTTCATTCTCAGGTCAGCCCTCTTTGCCAGCCACTATTTTCTTTATATAAGGATAAGCTGGGAATAACGGGGGAGGGAGGGGGAATTGCAGAGGGTCATTATTATTATTTAGTTTATTTGTTACATGTCACTAATGTGAAGCAAGGTTTATTTTTTTGTTTGGATTCCAAAGGACAAAGGTCACTTGTTTTGCCCAGAGGCTCAAACTTTAGTCATCAGTGAAGTTATTTCCCTGGTTCCAACCCTGTCCTTTCCAGGATGTGTGTCCTGCTATTCGAACCATTCCTTGAGTTGCATAGAATTAGTTAAGCTGGAGTTCATGTCCTGAATTGCACCCAAAGACGCGTGATTCTGTTTTAAAAACAAAGCTTTGAGGTTTTGAGCAGCTTTAGTCTCCTTGAAGAGATGACGAATACATAGGATCTCTGAATCTGCATATTTTATTCCTAGACCTGAACAGGTTGTGCCTTTTCATGCTACTGGGATAGCAGAATTGTACTGTCTCAGTGTTTCTCTGCTCATGAGGAATCTCGGCTATTGCAAAACCAGTAAGTAGCTGCACATCAGGAACTATCTGAAATTTTGTGGAGCAAGATTCTACCTGGCCTAAAAATGCTGGACCTGTCAGAGCAGCAGGCTGGGGCTGACACGGCTCAGACAGACCTCCTTTGCTGAGGAAACCTGCCAATTTTTATGAGGTACCATTGAGGTACCTTAAGCTTATCTCCTTCCAGGTGAAAGCATCTAACACCCTCTTTTTTGTCTAGATTGGACCCTAAATCTCTCCTTCATATGGTACAAAAGTGGGAGCACATGAAAAAAACGTCCAGTGTATCCAGATTTTTTGCTGTCTAATGTTCCTTTGTATTGTGAGAATGACTTTAGAAATCACTTGTTTTGAAACCTAAAACTTTGCTGTAGCTTCATAACACCAAAGCTTTATCAAAGAGTTTGTTTTCCCTGTGTGAATGAGTTGTGCATTTCAACCCAACATTTAAGTTCAGAGCTCTAACAGTGCTGTTACTGTAAGGTCTTCGTAGTTTCATGCTCAGCTGGAGATGGCTTCTCAACTTTTGTAATTCCTATTCAAGTTTTGCAAAGAAGAGGGTCTTGAATGCAGATACAGGTTT